ACAGCTGTGCACTGTAAGCTCTCTAGTGTAGACATGGCCTTATTCAAGAACATCTTTGTCTATTTTTTATCTGGGCTTCCCTCTGGCCAGAGCAGAGGAGCAACTCCTCTCTAGGCAGCAAAAAAACCCACCCACTCTCCAAAACACCCTAATTTCTGCTGCCTGTGCTTTCATCAGCCGTATTGTCAGAGCAACATTTAACATTGTAGAACTGTATTCTCTGCTATGCAGACATCTCTGGTTCCCTCCTGTCATGGTTCCACTCCTATCCATGGAGCTGTGCTCTTGCTCTCTCACTGATGACAGCTACCACTTTGTGCCATGGCCCCTTATGCCCGGAATCCCACCAGCCTTAGTTCTCAGCCCACTGCTCTCTCCTATCTGCCGTCGGCTCTTCCAGTCTCCCTCTCTACAGTGAGAGGGTTGTTGTACCCCTGACCCTTGCTTTGAAAACAGTGAGGCCATGGTTAGAAAAAAACCAATATAAATATGATTTAAAAATTATTGGGGGAGAAAAGATTTAGGGGTTTCTGGAAGCTCTCCTCCGCTAGCTAATGTAAACCCAGTCCCTGGGCTCTGAGAAGGAGCCCCCTTAGGAATCCCTCAGGAAGAGGTCACAGTGAGAAGCTCCTCAGCAGCTCTGGAGAAGGAGGTGCCTGTACCAGCCCCTTGCTCCTTCCTCCATAACAACAGCAGGAGGTAGGGCAGGACAGCATCAAGCACTCCTCACCCTGAATATCCTGCATTAATAAGGTCAGGACCAGCACTAATGTCTCTTCCTCCTGATACTCAGCAAGAAGAGAGGGAGCAGGTGAGCAGGCACTCCCAGAGATTGATGAGCAGGAGGTGTGGGAGTAGCAGGGGCTGGGAACAGCCCTCCTTCACACCATTTATGTGCTAATCCAGGTGTATGTGGGACACATGGGACAAGCACCCTACAACTGTTACAGCTGCTGAAGGGTAAAGGGAAGGAGAAGGAAGTCAGCAGCTCAACTGGCCGCCTGGATCATGGCTTTCCTGCCCATCCTCCCACCCCCCACTGAAGAGGCAGGGTCTGCTTGGGCAGCCCTTTGATCTACCAAAAGAGAGGAGGGGAAATGAAGGCAATGTCTGCCGAGCCCCTGGCTATGGGGCTTTGTAGGGGTGCATGTAATCTGGGTCTAGCAGCAGCCAGTCTGTAAAAGGACAGCTTTGTGTCTCTGTTTTGGGTTCTTTTTTGTTATCATTCTGAATTCTAAGAAATAAAGTGTTTGATTGCAACCTTTCAGCAAGAGTATTTATGCTTTTATCTAACTTCTCTATGTGTATGCCACGAATTCTTGGCCTCTTCAGTCTCACTAGAGTCAACACAACAGCTTTCTCTTCTGCAGCTCCTAGTGGCTGGACGAGCCTTTCTGCAGTTACTCCCCTCACCAATCCTGTGTAATTGCATTTATCACAGTGGAGCATTATTTGAGGAGACAGCTCACATGAAAGACAGTAGCCAGAACATCATACCATGAGGTCTCATCCTCTTTCCCTCACCTCCTCGTATTTTATCCATTTATCACCATTTTTCCAAAACACTGCCCACTGTGTGGGGAAATGGGGGTTCTGCTGTGGATCGCAGGTGTTGGAAAGACGCCTCGCTTTGTCATAGGTCTCAGAGGTTATCACTTCCAAGGAAGTCAGGGCAAGTTTCCCAGAAGAATTATTGCTATGAGAAAAAATAAATAAATACATAGTTATAAGCATGTGTACTGCTGGGAGAGTGAGCCTGCGGTAGCGGCAATCTCCCTAAGGCAGTACTCCTCCACCATCCCCTATAATGCCCTCCCCTGGGAGAGACAGGGACTGGAGAAACTATGTATTCCTCACAGCCAGTGCCACCATTCTGTTCAGCACCTCCAGTTGAGAGTGGCTAGCATTGGAGCATAGCTGGGAGCTCTCCACAGCCGGAGCTCCTTCACCATTCCCTAGAGTTCCTCCAGTAAGGGAAGACTCAACCTGTGCTAGAACAACTAGAAATCTGCCCCATTCCCTTCCTTGTCTCCTACTGTACAAGGCTAGGACCTGTGTTGAAGTGATCTCACTGCAGCTAGTTCTCTTGTGCTGTTCTTTACAGTACCTCCTGCTGGGAAATGCTGGGGCTGGAATTTTTCCATCACTTACTTGTCCAAAAAATGAGCATGACTTTTGTTAACATTGCAGTAAAGATTTTCCAGGTGCCGCTGAGCTGAGTCACTCAAACTCTGCCAGGCTTTGTTGTCGCTCCGCCTTAACTGCCAGTGGTAAGGATAGCGAGTGTGGTGGAGTGGACAGCCAGCTCCTTCAGGACAGTTTCCTAGGAGGAAGTGATCACAGATTCTGATCCCATCTGCCTGATGGATATGGAACTGGGCCCCATCTTCACTGGCTAAGTGCTCTGGAGACCTCCTCTCATTCTGTAAATCCATTGAGAAGACAATGCTATTTGTGTTCTTAGGAACTGGTTTCCCACTGGCTGAAGAAGCTCTCAGATCTCAAGGGCAGTGGAGTTGTAAAGAGCAGTTCAGTTCTTTGGAGGAACCCAACTCCTGGGAGAAAAATGGGGAAATTTAGTGAGGCAGGAAGCTGGCCGGAATGCAGAGCTTCCTACACAGGACAACTTTCTTTAGTGCTTCTCAATCCAGGCACATTGGACCACGTCTTCAAAAGTATTTAGATGCCATTGAAATCAACGGGACTTAGGCACTTAAATACCTTTGAGGATCCGGGACAGATCCCCCAATAACTGGGCACTTGTCTTTGGCATTTTCTGCCCTCCCCAGCTGTAGCCCATGCCCCCAGGACTTTCTCCCCAATGGCAAACCTTTCCTACTATGTGAGTCTCATGGATAGCCACTGCCCTTCCTCACATAGCTATCATCTCCTGCAAAATAAAACCAGCAGCTGGTGCAGTAAAGGGGAGTACGATACTCCTCTGATTCTTTTGTGCTTGCTCTCTCTAGACTTTCCCACCACCTAGAGGTTCCCGCTCAGATTTATGTGCAGTGTCTTTGTCTCTAGTTTCTTCTTTTCACTTTCTCCTTTGCTCCAGTGGGAAGTGGATTCCAGACTTTCGCAGGAACCCAACTCCTGGAGGCATGAAGCTGCTCTGTGTGCGGATCCCTAGGGCTAGATTCTGGGCTGTGCCTCCAGAGAGGTGTTGTACAGAAAGCATAGTTATAGGGAATGGAATGGCCCTCAGCATAAAGTACAGGAATCCTAGCAGCTGCTATAATTTACCCCAACAATCCTGGAGCCCAGAATCCTCAAACCCCTCCCACTTCCAGCACAGCCCCTACATCGAAGCTTGCACTAGGAGAATGCTCCCTGGTCTATCACAGTCACTATACACTGCCTTAAGGGCATACAGTGGTCAGGGTGGGGTACCAAAATCTGGACCCTAGTCCTCAACACCCATACACCTGTTACAGAGCCCCTTCCCCGGGCTTCATACCTTACAAACAAACACTGCTCTTCTCAAGGGATCATCCTCTCCTGAGCTTTACCTCTCGCAGTGGGATCCAAGCTCTACCCTGGCCTGACATCCCCTTTCCCCACCCCCACCCCACGTTTCTGAGGGTAAGTGGGAAATTCCCACCCCCAGGGCAGTGGGGGTGGGAGGAGAAGTTAATTTCGTCGGTCTCCAGTCCCTCTCTGAGATCCTTTGATCCTCCCCACTAACTCCTGGGGCCAGCTGGTTTGGGAGAGTTACATGCTGACCAACCCAGGGCTCAGTCCCCTCCTCTCTCTGCCTCTGGAATAAACCAGGCGTTAAACCCTCACGGCAGTTGAACAGTCACCCCTGGCATTCCAGGCTCATCCCCAGGGCAGGGATACTTGTCAATCCAGTTTGCACAGCTGGGTGTAGACCACCCCTATGTTTCATGCCACTCCAATCTGCATACAGTGACCGGCAAAGCCCCTATCCAAGAGTCAACCTGTTTCCCTCCAACTCACTCAGTCCTTCCACAGTGGGACTCCCGTAACTTTGTTGTAAGCTCCTTGCAGTAGGGACTGTCTTCCTATGTGCTTTCACAGCACCTCCCGCAATAGGTCCCTAATCCCGATTGGGTCCTTTGGGAATGACAGCAATATAACAAGAGAGACAAGATGGGTGAGGTAATATCTTTTCTTGGAACAACTTCTATTGCTGAAAGAGACAAGCTTTTGAGCTTACACAGAGCTTCTTCACGTCTAACGAAGCCAGACTTGAAGAAGAGCTCTGTGTAAGATTGAAAGCTTGTCTCTCTCTCCAACAAAAGGTGGTTCTATAAAAGATATTACCTCACCCACCTTGTCTTTCTAATGTCCTGGGACCAACATAGCTACAACCCTGCAGACAGCAATATAACAATGGATATGCACACATAAACTACTCCACTAGGAGCCTGTTCACCTAGGTGTCATTCTAACTCATATTCCCATTGCTCTCCCAACAGGACTCATTTCCCTGTGTTTTATCACATAGCAGATGGGTTCACCTACAGTTTTTCCACAGTAACAGCCGCTATCCCTGGTGCCTAGAACTCTCCCCCCCCCCCCTTATTACTGGAGTGCCCATTCATCCTCCCCCAGCAGTGCTGGAGTCTCCACCCTGCCCACTCCCATTGAAGGTGTCCATCTTCTTTCCTCCAGGCCTGAGAGATACCATAAGCAGGCCAGAGCCAACCAGGTATTGAGTATCAGAGGTGCTGAGAGCATCAGATCATGAAAGAAAAATAATTATATTGGTATAAAAAAATTATTTAGAAAGTAATTACTAAGAAAAGAGTGGATTTTTTTAAACAGGAATTTATTTTAAAGCGATCACAGAACAGCTGTCTTCACAAATTCACCCAGACCACGAAATGAAGGCGTTTAGGACAGATTTCAAAGGCACACTTAGGGTATGTCTACACAACACACAGAAGTGAGCCTCCCATCCTGGGTTGTCAGCCTTGGGCTAGGGGGCAATAGCTGTGTAGTCATTGCTTTGACTTTGCAGATCAGGCTGGGTCTCT